CCTTGCTTCTAGATGCCTATGGGGCCGTTTAAATACCATGGAGACGTGGCCTGTTATGCGTCTAGTGGCCCCCTATGCGTTTAGAAGCAAGGGTGCGGTGCAATGAACTGCTGGCGTAAAGTGAGAAATTGATTTTTCTTTCTGTACATTGTAACATTTGCGGTTTTAATCCGCTATCATTATTATTTTTACTAAAACAGCACAGAATTTGGACTATACGAGGAATACGTCTGGCGAGTGCCCAGATCATCTGCAGACATAACTCGTTTTAAAATAATGTCTAGGAAATGAAACTAGGGGCAAGTAATGCCGCAGCGCGCTCTTAAATGTTACTCTTGGATGAATCAAGCCGGCGAACCATTTTTTAAACGTGTTCTAGAGTATGCAATCACCAGCTTGTCAATCATGAGTTTTAAGAACTATATCAACTACAGTTAATTACATCAATACTATCGGAAGCGATTCTGTGACAAATTATTACACTGAGTTGCACTGCAAAATCATATCTATCCGTTCCTTCCAGAGAGTTATTTGAACAAGCTAAGGCTGTGTGGTATTTGAGCACCTACGCTGAGTAGATGCACTACTGCGTTACTGTTGCAAGTCGAAACATACAGATGCTCGTAGGACCAACAGAACAGCTAAGTAGCTAAGGAACTGATATTCGTAAGGAACTAATAACTATTGACTACTGAATAACATTAATTTGGTCACAAATGCAAATCAGTCTATAAGCAGGTAAGACAAGCTGGATTAACTCCATATTTACGGATTCCGAAACGGTGCTGCTTTTTTCGCACAATGCACAAAGGAGATGCCGCAATTTCTCAAAGTCATTACAGTTCTCTCTTCAATGGTTCTAAATACTATTGAATTATACCCTTTAATCTCTAGTAAAACGGCCGACATCTTCAATTACATTGACATTCCTCAGGTTTAGAAGGGCATGCCGTATTCAAAACGATCCAAAGACCAGCGGATAGTAAAAGTCATTAAATTAAATTCTGAAGAAATAACGGTTCTGAAACAAAGAAAACCGGAAAAACGGGTTAAGTAAAAATGAAGTTACTAAAGTGGAGTAACTAAGTAAAAAAAGTAGTTAAGCGGTGGACACTAAACTAGTGATGAACAAAATCCAAGACTAAAGATTTCTGAAACGTGTCGTCATCCGCTCAGGCTGCACCTATGGCTTGAATTAAAGCGAATTTGTTTATCACGAGACCAGCATTGGCGTTGTCACAGGCCATCACGTCAATTATGTATAGGCTATCTACTGTATAATTCACAATTGCAGAATGTTCCTCCTTTCTACCCTCTAATGATAGATCTCTAACCAGTTAGTAGAGATGGTTTGCCCAGTCGGCGAGTATCGGACTCAAAACCAACAGGTTTCGGGTTTGAAGTCATGTTGGGATCACTCCCTTTCTTTCTTCCTAGGTTCATAAATGAGTACCAGTCTCCGAGAACGAAACAAGAAGCTGCGCACGATGGATGCCACATCTGTAGATTCTGCCTTAAAAATAAGGCACTCCATGCTCATGGCATAGAAACAGAGAACATCGTCGCACCATCAACCTCATTAAAAGAAGGACGCCTAACACCGTCCCATAATTAAAGCTCAACGAAGAGCGGCATTCATACGGTAACAACCTTTCTTTAAAGCCCGCCTTACATTCCTTCAGATGAGTTTTAGCGCATCAACTTCACAATGAAACATTTCTTCTGATCACGTTTATGGGTCATTTATTAAATACCGGGTTTTTAAACATGTGGTCTGTTTCCAAATGGGCGAGATCATGAACCTGACCTTAACTTGTATACCGACATAGTGTTTCTGTTATGCTCAGATGGACAGAGATAAGGTGTTATTAGTGAAGATTATGAAAAATGTAGCAGTAGTTGCCATTATTTTGAAGTATGCATGAAAGATCAACATCTGATCTTTCGAGAGATGACACCGGATATTAAATTTGCTGCACATATTCTCCTACGCTTTGTTTGCTGCTCGATAACCCTGTGATAAGTGTTTTACACTATATCATTCTGTTCTCATAGTGAATTTAATATCAGGTGTCATTCTTTAAACGATCTTTCTAATTTTGACCTGAACTCCTACATAAATATGTCAACTTCTGCTTTACAGTGCGAAAGACTTTAGATATCAGGTTTACATACGGAAGGGCGGGCGACTGCCACGTTACACCGCTCTTCCACCCATACTGATTGCAGTATTAGAAGTATGAGTGAGCGTGGTATCAATCAGTAAAGCCACTTCTAACGGTGAGACACCATAACTCAGAGTAACTCTGCTCTTCAAGCTCTGTATGGACGAAAAACCACAGTTATGGGAATTATAAAACAGAAAGAGAATTACTTTAAAGAAAATGTCTTTGTGAATATATGCAGAAAAGAAGTTATTTCCTTCCCTTTCATGTGAACTAGAATAGTTCTCCTGGTTTTATACAAATTAACAAGAGCAAAGGTAGGCTGTTTCGCTTTTGGACGTACGATGTTATCGATTACATGTTGGCTGTGTTGTTATGAGTTAGCCAGTGGTACGTATTCAGCGTATTCGACCTTATAGTATATGTTTACATAAATTTATGGTATTAAGAATGTAGTACTAGAATCGTTTATGAATATATGTTGTTCGCAGTTATTAATTAGTACCTGACGTGTACACAGCTGGTGCCACACAGGTACTCCGATTCAGTGGTTAGCAGCACGGAAGACAAGCTTGGCGCATTTGACAAAACCTCGTCCTTGCATAAGTTTTTGGTTATGCGAATAGTCTTTGGTGGGATTTATGCTGTTTATCCCTACAGTGAATGAAGCATTTCTACAAGTGGAACCAAAAGATTTGCTGAAATCAAGGAGAATAGCAAAGAAATTGATTATGATGAATATCTAATCCGGACACCCTCTGCCTGATTGTTCCTCATCGAAGATTTGCTCAAGCCCTAGCAATTAATAGACATTAACTGATTTTTTGTTGTAGGCACGCCAAAGGTTGAAATTGTCGAGCCGAATCATGTGCCACAGCCGGAGGATCACTTTTACGCCAGCGTCATCGATGCAGAGATGCACCCGATCGTGCGACAGCTACTGTACATGGGCAACAAGCAGATGGCGGACGTATACTGCGAGACCCATCCCGAAGCGGACCGGCAAGTTTTGCAAACCCTGCTGGACTCGCCGTCTCAATGGTACCGCTGGGCGGGTGGTGACCTGATCCGGTCGTACGATATGGCTGGAAAAGAGAAGATGGTGATCATCGAAATGAACTCATGCCCATCTGGCAACAAGAGCGTGCCGTACGTCAACTGGGGCTTTGAGGGATTTCGGCGGGTGATCCGTAGCACGGTATACCACCATCTGAACGACCAATCGCTGCCCCCGGGGGCGTTGGCCGTTCTCTTTGACGTAGCCAAACAGAAGAAGGAGAGCTACGCGTACGCGACCATGTTGGCCAATTTGACCAACGAGAAGGTGTACTTGGTGGACACCGGCTATGCGCCGAAAATGCCGTCGCACATGCGTTGGACAAGCGAAGGTGTGTGCCAGATCAAACCTAGCGACGACGGCGAATGGCTGAACATCCG